CTCCGTTAGAGGCTCTGGCTGTTGGGTTGTCTGCGGTTGTCTGCGGTATTCTGCGGTTGTCTGCGGTGGTCGCCGGTGCGTCCCTCCATTGTGATTAGAGTATTCACTTGTTCCCCACATCTTATTGTGGCGTTCTTCTTTTCTATGTCTCATCCGCCTCCCGATCCGCCTCCCGCCGCCTGCCTCCGCCTCCTCCCTCCACACCGAGACAACACATACAGAGACAACACACACAACACACACAGAGATCACACACACAAAGATCACACACACACAGAGACAACACACACACACAGAGATCACACACACACAGAGATCACACACACCGAGACAACACATATATACTACTGTCTAATGACTTAAGCCAACGTGATGCAAGTGACATACCAATCTGGCTACCCCCAGGGCTAAGTCATGTGCCCTGACATATCGAGCTAAAAAAAGGTCTGGGTTGGGAAACCTGGTGTCATAGGACCTGTGGACACCTCCTCGACAAAAAATGTAAAAACACAGCTAAATAGTGCTAGATACCACTGCCTGGCACCCTGGTGACACAGTGGTGACATAGGGTGCGACTATGTGTTTTTGCGGGCGCTGCTTCCTTGAATACCTCATACATATTTCTATGAATATCATGGTTGTGGCCTGATGACATAGGCCTTAAGAGGAAATGCCAATGTTGGATCAATCTTGATGACATAGGCTTTTGGAATTGGCGTGTATGTCCGACAAGTCCTAAGTTACTAGTCAGTAGTGTAGAGATCATATTCCCTCCACACCAAGACAACACGTACAGAGACCACACACCGAGACAACACACACAGAGACGACACATACAGAGATCACACACACAGAGACAACACACACCGAGACGACACATACAGAGATCACACACAGAGATCACACACACCGAGACAACACACACAGAGATCATGCGCAGATTTCGTGGCAGGCAAAGCACTTTGCGACAACACACACCGAGACGTCACCAGAATTCGTGGCAGGTACAGCACTCTGTGAACCTCCATGCTCCGCTAGAGGCTCTGGCTGTTGCGCTGTCGGCGGTTGTCTGCGGTTGTCTGCGGTGGTCGCCGGTCCGTCCC